TTAGTTAATAATTATATTAATTTTTTGTGTTATTAAATAAAATGAAGATTTATAATTGTGTACACAATAGGTAGGTGCATATCGAGTTTTCGGCGGGAATGTACTTCTCCATAGTAGAGAAGTGTAAATAAACTATTCTTAGCAGCCTGTCGGTCTATGTGTGCACGCGTGTGTTTGAGTTTGGCTGAACCAATTTTGATAAAATTTTATATGTAAGTTTATTTTAATTATGGCGCAGATTGATCAACTTTTGGGATATATCACGCCTAGGAAACTGCACTTTTTAACGGGCCTGCTTTACATTTTTGATCATTTTGAAGAAAATATTCAACACATTTACTTGAAATTTCATATATAAAACTTGCTCGATCGTCCGCGAAACCTCCTAACTTTTGAAAGAAATCAGGCGTCAGCAACTAGACGTTTACTACGGGCCGAATATATGTTTTTGCGTATATGAAGAGAAATAATTAACCGATTTCATTGAAATTTAATATTTTAATAGTTCGTATTAAAACAATGAACATATAAATTTCTTGAAAAGATCAGGGCTCGAAAACTGGTCTGCGAGCCGATTTTACATTTTTTACCATATCTACGAAATGAATTGATGGAATTTCTTGAAATTTGATATTTGAGTTTTGGTTAGTACTGAATTTGGGTATCACAAAACGAAAGTCTACTAAGAGCCCAATATACATTTTTCTAGATATGTTAACTATAAGCTTATAATGCCCTAAAAATTGAAAAGAAGTATTTAACACGCATTTTTATAATATTCTGTAACATTTTCACTTAAATAGACAATACACATTGCGGTCGGTTATGTGCTGACCACATCAGATTTTTTATTCTTTTGTTCGCAATATTTGGAATGAAACAAAGGTGGATTTTGAAAAACAAAATACTTACTAAAATTTATTTAAAAAGAAAAAATCACTTAATAAATTGCTAATATTTTGTGTTCTTTTTAAAGTTTTTATTGTAATCATACTTAAAAAAAATATAATAGTATATTTGATTACCTTCATATAAATAGAAATGCGCCAAAAGTGTTGAGTCGAAGGAAGCAGATGTAATGGTCTACGAGAAAAGGGGAACTTTGCCAAAGAACGAGGTCATCAGGGACAAATGGATACAAGCATTAGGAAAAAGCGATTCGACACCAACGAAGTATTTTTAATTTGTAAGAGCTTTAAATTGTATGCTGTTGCCTGCGGCAAGTATAATTTAATCAATTATCTATTGATGTTAAAATTTTAACAATTTAAATAAGGATGTAATTTAATCAATAATAAAAAAAATTTTGTGTAATTTAGGTGAATACATAGGTACATTTGTATGATAAAATTTATAGGTTTTCTCATCAAATATTACTGACTTTAACAAAAATGCATTCAAAATTTTATTTTTTTATATAAATATGTCATATAGTCAATAAAAAAAGTGATTCAATTATTTTTGAACTATTCAACTAGTTTTGTTTTACCTGGAAAATTTGTCACTTGTAACTAATTTATAAGAACATGAAATTTAATTTTGTTTTTTAAACGAAATAAAATAATTGCTGTAAATATTTAGTATTTAATCACTTTCACTTTTTCAAAGAGCTCAAATGATCATGAACATTTCTAATTTATTCAAAAATACCTAATGTAAGAATATATTTCTTAACAAAAAGTATACAAAAAGTATACAATTTCCAATACAACGTATGTATGTATTAGTAAATTGTGAATTTCGGAGTCTGATGTCCACTTAAAGATGTATGTGGATATGTATACGCATGCGATATATATAGGACTACTGCAATATATATGTGATCAACTATCTGTCTTAGAAATCAAATAGTGACTAAGAAATTTTTTGTAGGAGCGAAATGAATTTATCATATATCAGATTTTATATAATGATGACCAAAAGGCTGAAATCAAAGATACTGAAAGTCTCTTAAGTTATTATTATTACATTTTGTCATTGCACTGCTCTAGCATGGAAGTATAATGACACAGAACAATTAAAGAACTAAATAATTTAAAACATTATAGACTCGAATATACTGGAAGATGCATATTTTGTTAACTGTCTTAAACTACACAATTAAAGAAAAAAAACAAAATAAGGACCAAAAAATAACTTGGACGGATACAGTAATCAAAGCTAAATAAAAAATTGTTGATAAAAACTATCAAATATTTACAAACTAAAATTTTAGTTTGTAAATATTTGATAGTTTTTTCGATTCAACTATAATTACCTAAATAGTTTACTCACACTAAAAAATTATGTAGCTTTAAATTCAGACATAAAAATTAAGTTTTTCCGCTAGAAAATGATTTTTAAAATTATGAATGGAACAAACCATAAAAAAAAATTTAACTCTACTCCTTTTTTAAAACTTTTCCAAAAAATTTTTGAAAAAAAGTGCTTATTAGTTTCACTCTGTGAAACTCGGTGAAATTTATTTCCGTACAAGAAAATTACCTCTCCCCTCTAAAAGTTACAGCCCCCCAACAACGCAATATTTTGACTATTGTAACGAAACGAAACCACAAACATTTTTTAAATTCTATAAACGCAGAAAAGTAGTAGTAGAAATATAAGTTTTGAGGCTTCGCCTGACATTTGTAAACTGCTTTGTTTGGTCCACGATGTTGTACGGTATAAAGCACGGACGTTGAAAGTGGCGCACATGAATAAAATTGAAGCTCTAGAAATGTGAATATATAGAAGAATACTCCGTATTCCATAAACGGTCCGTATAACCAATTTCGAAGTGTTAAATAAGTTACAAACGGAAAGAAAGCTTCTACATATTATAAAAACAAGAAAGACGGCATTTTTCGATCATGTGATACGAGGAGCGAAGTATGAATTTCTTCGATTAATAGTCAACGAATAGGTGTAGGGAGGAAACAGATGTCATGGCTCCGAAACATTAAAAACTTGACTGGCAGTAGAACAACAGAAGAACTAATTATGACAACTGCAGATAGGAACGAATTCGCGAACATAATATGCAATATTACTTTACAACATACGATTCGCTTACATCCTATAAAGGATAATGGCAGCAGCGAGAGAGAGAGAAAAGTAATGTTGAGCTTTTTGTGGCGCGGCATACCATATTTGAACTTTAAAAGAAAAAAATTACCGTTAAAATTTACCCTTATCTAAAATCCGCTTTTTTTTATATCATTTTTCTACTAGACCTCAAGTTGCAGGAGCCTGAAGTTTTGGCAGCTTTTTGACACTAATAAATAGCTCATTTCCTTCAAAGACAATTTTTTTCCATCTCCACTAACTTTCAAGCTATCGCCCCTCGAAATTTGTAAAATTTGAATTTTTAACCTCTTGCATTTCCGAAACTGCAAGCTTTTCCAAATTTCTGTAAATGCAGCAATATTACGGTAAAATCCGCGCTTTTTAATATAGTTATTCTTCTTAACTTACACAATTAACCCTTAAATTTGAGAATTATGTTAGTCTCTTATTTAATATGCGTTACTATTATGCACGAATGATAATACATTTCTGATCTACGAGACATTTTTTTGGAAATTTACTGGAATACATGCATAATGTTGCTATATGAAATATATAGCAACATTCTAATATCTTGCTTCAGGAAGTTCTTCTCAGAGCTGCTTGCGATGCTGGCTCGTGCTATTACTGGTTTCTTCATTGGATATTGTTAGGTGAAATATCACTTGCGCAAAATGGGCAATTCGAAATTAGAAAAATATAAAATGGCAAAAATGGGTGTTTTTTCAAAGTTTGAAGACATCGTATTCTATTAGTACATAAAATACAAAATCAAATATTTTGCTTTCAATCTCTTTACTAGCCCTTTTAGAAACTGTTCATTTAAAGCCTTCATCTTTTTCAGAAAGGAAATTATAAGCAAAAACGCTTGGGCAATTAAAAATTTCGTGAAAATTCGTTAAAATCCCTGTATCTTAGAAACCGTTGAGTTTTGACAACTAGTTCCCAACAAAAATTTTATCCAATTTTGATACGCTAAACAATAATATATAATAAATATATAATTTTGTGCTCTTTACTGAATCACCCTGCATATTCTGTTTTGATGACGTGCTGTTGGTGTCAAGAGGTGTAAGTGATTTAAATGGGATATGGGCGGGCTACAATATGTCATGCTTGGCTGCATGATCGGATTGCCTTTATCTCGTTTCAACAATCTATTAAAGCTGTTCTTGAAGGCTTGGATCTTGTTCCAATATTTTTAGAAAAAAAAATCACTTTAGTCTCTTTAATTTGGAAAAGTTGATTGCTATTGGTTATTGCAATTAAGCGATTTATACTTTGGGGCATACAAACCCATTACAGAACGAAATTCTGTTCTCTCACTGTGAAAACGCCGTTAAATGACAAAGTGAATTTCAAACAAGACTGTAATGGTGTAAGAAGCCATTATCTGAAACCACCTCAGTTACAATACTCTTGCCTCAAAGCAGACTAGGACGTCACAAAAGATTATTCTTCACTTACTCGCTACAAATATATTGCTTTTTGTGCTTTCTTTCTCAAAATGTTACGCCTCATTACTGTTATGTACCTATGGATGTCAGTACAATTAAATAACAAGATGTAGTTGTTTAACTTAAATTTCTCAATCTAAAGAAAGAAAGAAAACTTTTTGAATACGAAAGAATGCGGAATAGATGAACGACATAACTAGAGATTCAACAAATAATCTTTTGAAATTTGTAAATGGTCGCTAATTAGGCACATCGTCTATTTTTATTATCAAATAAATATGACCGCTTTATGCAAAAATGCAGAGGATTTCTATTAAAAATGAAATATTGATGTCACATGTATTCAATTATGATAAAACATTTTTTAAATTTTCCTCCTCCTGCACTAAGTTTGTTTTAATTCTATTTTTCGACTTTTTCGTATCTATACTTCATTTTGAAAGTTTTATATACATACATACATACATACATACATTGTAAATATAATTTAGTACTCACTCCTTTTTCTGTCAAAAGTTTTGCACTTTGATCTAAAAATTGGGCGGCTTGGTGCCATACCGCTGGATGATGCGTCAAAACCAATAAGCATTGTTCAGTAGCAAACATGACTCTTCTTGTAACTAACGCCGTATCTTCAGATCTCAATGGGTTAGATTTTTCAAAACTAATATATTTTCGCCAAAGTTCTATCTGCGTTACCATTATTTAAAATAAATTATCATTTATTATTTTAAATAAAATAGATTATATGTATGTAAATTACTGCTAGGATTTTCTACCAGAACATGCTATACACATTCTTGCTCTTTGCTTTAGAAAATTTATTATTTCAAGTGAATACCTGTTGATATCTAATTTTATCAAAAAATTTTGCAGCAATGAGTAAGTTATGTTTTTCAAAGATTATTTTTAAAACTACTGAAGCAATTAATTTTTTTTCTTGCATCAGAAAACGCTTAAAATTTTGAGTAATTATGCATTTACAACTTTTTTATGTCAAAAATTTGGTATGATGTTCTGATATAAAATCCTATATTTGTTTAACACCTTATTTACTACCTGAATTCTTTCCTCTCTAGTCAAGGTTGGTGGTATAGCTGGCAAATTCCTATTCAATCCTTTTGTAATAATTTCTAATTCCTTAGCTACTCGTCTTGCATTCATATAATCTCTTAAAAATATCTAATGCACCAAATGAAAAACACAGGTATTATATACTAAACTCACTTAGACCTTTCCAAGCTCATTTTTTCTGATATTATGGGATTAATATTTTGTTCAAAATTAATATATTCTTTCCATAATGCCTCTATTCCTATTGCAGGAGTAACTACGGCCTTCTGATATACTTTCCGAACAGCAGTTATTTTTTGATTCTCAGCATAGCTTCCAACAGCTTCAACACTTTTCAAAAAATGAATATAATCTTGCCATATTGAAAACGAGTGCAAATCCATGCCAATTTTTTCTAAAGCAAAGTCATAAGCTTGCGCCAACTTTTCCCTAGAATTTTTATACACACATACATACATATATTATAATACCCCGTATAAATTTAAAAAATATTTTATTCATTATATTAAAATTTGTTTTAATTTTACTTATGAGTAGCAAGACCAGCTTTAGTTTCTTTGACATATGTTAGATACAACTTCCACAACTCAATGTTTAATATTTTTACCAAACATCTTTGAAATAACTTCTCTACTCTTTCAAAATTTCGAGCTTTTATTTCTTGCTCTATATACATTTTCCAATATTTCGCTGTTGTAGGAAACACACTTACTAAAGATTCATAAAGTGACCTAACTTCATTAACATGACGATTTTGTGCCTCCCGCAGCAATACAGACCAAGATTCAATATCATAAGGGCGTAATTCAACGGTTTGTTGAGCCCGAACCAATCTTTCATGACCCCACTCCTAATATTTTCATAAAAAATTAAAAAGTAAAATACGTATTTCATAAATTACTTACAATATCTATTTTTATTTGTTCTTTGACAGACATTTCACTACGCGACTTTTTTAAGTATATAATTTACTGCTAAACCAAAATATTTTGCTTCTGATACTCTTATATTTTAAAAAGCATTCTCACATATCTTACAATTTGCATTTTACCATCACCTTTCATGTTAGTATAGTACTATATGTATTCGATATATGTAATAGTATATTTACTGACTTACATACTTATATCGAATTTTATTGAATGCTACATAATCTGTAAATCAGTGTTTGCATGTCAATCAAAGATTGACAATCATGATTGAGATTGATGAAGATTGATCAAGGATAATTTAATCCATTAATTTTTATTATATATCCATTAATATCCATTAATAATTTCCATTATCCCATCATTTCTAAATTTTTGATTGACGAAAATGCAGAAATTGATTCTATTTTCGTTAAACATATTTGACAGAAGTTAAATTAAAAATGACGTAAACATACTTTTTTGAATAAAATGTGCTGTGATTAGCTGTTTTAAGGTTTTTTTCCGATTTGTCAATTGATAGTGGAGTATCACTTTTAAATTTAAGTGCATATAGAAAGATTGCTTGATGTAAACGTAAATTCTCTCAAACTTCATCAAACTCAATCATGATTGACAAGCTTTGTTTGACATATAAACGTTGCCTAAGGTGGTTTTAAACATTAGATTATTTTAGTTTTGTTACTAAGGGAAAATGTTGAAAGTAATTTTCTGCAATCACAACTTTCAAGCAGCTCTCAGTATGCGTGATGAATTCGCTAAAAACCTTAGCTTAGTTTTTTAAATTTAAATAATATAAAAAAATAGATTTCATTTATAAGAACAATTGAAAAGAATTATTAGTAAAAAATTATGAAAATAAAATGAACACAAATATGAATATACAGATATGAAATGCATTAATTTAATATATGCAATTGTTTTTCGCGGAAACATTTCGTTAGACATTTTCTTCTTCGGAGCAATCTTATAAACTCAATTTACTCTTCGCCGATTGTTATTTTGCTAAATCCAAGAAACTGGTAAAAAGTACAATAATACAAAAAAAAACAAGGAAAACAATAAGAAAATAAGAACACATCATTAAAAAAACTTTAAATGGCCATATTAAATTTCATTTAAATGGCTACTTAAAAAAAGTAGTATGGAGAGCTTTAGCGTTGTAATTTGGGGTTATCATTAATATCAAACAAATAGTAAGGCATCTGACTAAATAGATGCATAGCAGAAAGTGCTTCCGTAAAGATGTTTTTATATCCCGTACATGTAAAATCAAGTCCCCCAAATGAGCTACGCGCCTACGCAACGTATTGATATTTTCGACTTTGGCAACGGTACGTACATTTTTTTTCTGTTTTTTGATTGTTTCTTTTAATGTCAAATTGATCTGGTTACTATGAGTTCACATAATGCGTAAAGCGCAAATTTAAACATTAACAAACTTTTTTTGGAAAATAATTTCTAATTTTAGAAAACAAAATTTTATATAACAAAAAATATTTTTAGGTCTCCTTATTTTTGTACAAGTGGCTTTTTTAGCAATACAATAATGACATTTTCAAAAACCGATGTAAATAATGACATTTTAGTATAAAGGCGAAAAAGCAGTAAAAATGACTTTACAGTAGTACAGTAGTATAGAATGCCAAAATGCAGTAAAATACTACAATTGTAGTAAAATTAACAACATTGGTCCTATCATGAATTTTGGTGTTACCCAGCATTTACACGTACAAGTTACTTGCAAGAAAGTTGCAATACATACAAAAATTTTACTAACACATTGAAATATTTCTATTTGCTTGTTTACTTGCAGTTCAACTTGCAAGAAAATTTTGCTGCCAGTAATTTGAGCAAGTAATTTGACATATTGAGAAATTCACAAAAAAAAATTTGTTGTTTTGATTTTTTTTTTAATTTAAAATTTTTGAATTTTGTTTTGAAAAAATTAAACTTAGCAAACTTATGGTTTCTAAAATTTATAAACAATTATATATATTGCTAGTTGTTTTCTTCTCAAAGACATTTTCAAAAATTAACTTGCTAAACACCTACGTCATAATAGCAAGTAATTTGACATTTCGAAAAACTAATTGACAATTAATATTATACAAACTTGCTTGCAAGTAACTTGCATGTGTAAATGCTGGGTTAGCTCTGAAATTCGGAAAATTACGAATATCATATCAATTACGAATTACTAAAATTCTGCTCCATAATAAAATCATAACCTACGTTCTTAGTAAAAATCAAAGTATAGGTATCTATTAATAACTAGTTCGGTTCTCCGTTTACATCACACTAATGCAATCACTCACCAATATTTGTATACAAAAAATTCCCTTAACTAAAAGAGTTAAGCAGTATACCTTCTTATTTTCATTTTTATACACATAAGAATTTTTGGGAGAGGGAAAGAGTGCGCGATAGACCTGTTCTTTTATAATGTATTTTTAAAAGCGGGAGTTATCTATTTTTTCGTATATAAAGTTTAGGGAAAAATAATAAAAATTTTAATATCGGGAGATTTATTTCTGTACAGGGTGGCAGAAATGGTGTATCCATAAAAGCGAAGCGATTTAAAAAAAATTGACTACTAAAATAAAAAAGGTAATAATTTACATACATTTTATATGTATATAATTTGCAAAAGATAAATCAGCTCGAAACTCAAGCTGCGTTTTTACTATGTTGGCTTAAGAGCCCAAAAAACGACGCTTAGCTATTAAATTTCAGATCATTATTAACATTTCAATTCAAGGAATCGACTTGAGTGAAGCCGGCTTCAGGTCAAGTAACATTTATATAGACAATGATAAGCTTGAAACAGCCATATAAACGGAGTACATACATTTTACTACATCATATTGTGTATCTACCTTGAATAGGTAAGTACTGTATAACAAAGTATGAAATTTTAAATTTATAACTATTACTTTCATGCATTTGAATTTTTTATGAAATGAAAAATAAAATATAAAGAAACAATTTTTGTTGTTATCCAAATAAAAATAACAGAATTTTTACCTAACTTAATTTAATTTTATTTTAGTTCAATGTTTTTGATACACTCGTTTGTTTACAATATTTTGTTTCTTTCTTGCCTATACAACTCTTATTGCTATCTATTTCTAAAGAAAAATGAAATATTTTAAGAATTTCGAAGCAAAATGCAAACGAAAACTAATGGAATGGAACGAGTCGGACTACTTATTAAGAAATATACTTTGCCAAAAATTACCCGAAAAAGTTTACGAAAGAAATAATTACACGTAACAAGCAATTTACATAACAAGATAATGGCACATAGTATTAAATTTTAAAATTTTGAATTTTTTTGTTTAAGCTTGAGTTACTTTAACATAGTTATCCTGGATATTTTAAAAAATATTCTTTTTCATGAATACTTTGAAAAATATGCTTTCGCATGAAAATTGTTCGCATGAAAAAAAATAATGCCATTGGTAATTTATAATCTCTACTACAGGAATTTGTGATCATTCAATAATCTTCGGCGCAGTTAGTTCGTAATTCTTATTGTAGGATTCTACGAGTGGAATTCATGATAGAGCTGAATATCAAACAATGACGTCTACATATCAGGCTAAAACCAGATTTTCAAATATTGTAATACAATAATAATAATAATAATAATAATAATAATAATAATAATAATAATAATAATAATAATAATAATAATAATAATAATAATAATAATAATAATAATAATAATAATAATAATAATAATAATAATAATAATAATAATAATAATAATAATAATAATAATAATAATAATAATAATAATAATAATAATAATAATAATAATAATAATAATAATAATAATAATAATAATAATAATAATAATAATAATAATAATAATAATAATAATAATAATAATAATAATAATAATAATAATAATAATAATAATAATAATAATAATAATAATAATAATAATAATAATAATAATAATAATAATAATAATAATAATAATAATAATAATAATAATAATAATAATAATAATAATAATAATAATAATAATAATAATAATAATAATAATAATAATAATAATAATAATAATAATAATAATAATAATAATAATAATAATAATAATAATAATAATAATAATAATAATAATAATAATAATAATAATAATAATAATAATAATAATAATAATAATAATAATAATAATAATAATAATAATAATAATAATAATAATAATAATAATAATAATAATAATAATAATAATAATAATAATAATAATAATAATAATAATAATAATAATAATAATAATAATAATAATAATAATAATAATAATAATAATAATAATAATAATAATAATAATAATAATAATAATAATAATAATAATAATAATAATAATAATAATAATAATAATAATAATAATAATAATAATAATAATAATAATAATAATAATAATAATAATAATAATAATAATAATAATAATAATAATAATAATAATAATAATAATAATAATAATAATAATAATAATAATAATAATAATAATAATAATAATAATAATAATAATAATAATAATAATAATAATAATAATAATAATAATAATAATAATAATAATAATAATAATAATAATAATAATAATAATAATAATAATAATAATAATAATAATAATAATAATAATAATAATAATAATAATAATAATAATAATAATAATAATAATAATAATAATAATAATAATAATAATAATAATAATAATAATAATAATAATAATAATAATAATAATAATAATAATAATAATAATAATAATAATAATAATAATAATAATAATAATAATAATAATAATAATAATAATAATAATAATAATAATAATAATAATAATAATAATAATAATAATAATAATAATAATAATAATAATAATAATAATAATAATAATAATAATAATAATAATAATAATAATAATAATAATAATAATAATAATAATAATAATAATAATAATAATAATAATAATAATAATAATAATAATAATAATAATAATAATAATAATAATAATAATAATAATAATAATAATAATAATAATAATAATAATAATAATAATAATAATAATAATAATAATAATAATAATAATAATAATAATAATAATAATAATAATAATAATAATAATAATAATAATAATAATAATAA